GGCTGCAGCGAGCCGTGATTGTGTCACTGCACTCCAGTCTGAGCAATGGGAGTGAGACCCTGTCTTCTAAAAAAGAAAAAGAAAGAAAGAAAAAAGTATAACAATCTACCCATGCACCCCTGAACCTAAAATAAAAGTTTGTGGGGGTTTTTATTTCTTTCTGTTTTTTGTTTTTGTTTTTTTTTTAAGAAGGAGTCTCACTCTATCACCCAGACTGGAATGCAATGGCGTGATCTCAGCTCACTGCAACCCCTGCCTCCCGGGTTCAAGCAATTTGCCTGCCTCAATCTCCTGAGTAGCTGGGATTACAGGCGTGTGCCACCATGCCCGGCTAATTTTTGTATTTTTAGTAGAGACTGGGTTTTGCCATGTTGTCCAGGGTGGTCTCAGTCACCTGACCTTGTGATCCGCCTGCCTCCACCACCCAAAGTGCTGGGATTACTTACAGCCGTGAGCCGCCGTGCGCGGCCAAATAAGTTTTCTTAAAAAGTGTTATTCATTCTACCTTTCACTGACTGTTATAAACCAATGCCTTTCTCTTCCTTAGTGTAATGGATGCCCCCACGCACTTATCCCTTCATTCATTCAACATTTCATTAATTCATTCATTCATCCACATTTCATTAATAAATGCATTCACTCATTCACACTTACAAAATAACTGTACAGCACCATGAGGGATTAAACAAATGAATAAGATACTCAAAAGAGAATCCAGGACAGGAAACAGGAGGAAAGTTTAGGAATTAGTCTCACCTAGTGTCCTTCCTAGCCTGGCTTTTCTGGTCCCGGCACGATGCAAATCCCTTTCCTGCTTCTCCCGCATGGCCATTTACCTCCACCAGGGGGTGTTGAGGGACAGAAAAACAGATAAAGATGGTGGAGGCGGCTTTACCACTCCTCAGCAGCTCCCTTCCCTTCTAAGGGCTGAAATTACTGATTAATATGAGATTCTTCAGATGCTCTGTCAAATGTGGCTTTTTCCATGAAATCCACTGTGACTGTGCTTCCAAAAATTGCAGCCCCAGCCTCTACATGCATTAGCATGAGCTATCCACTACCCTGCTTAAAAAAATTTTTTTGAACAGAGTTTTGCTCTTGTTGCCCAGGCTGAAGTGCAATTACCTGATCTTGGCTCACCTCAACCTCTGCCTCCTGGGTTTAAGGGATTCTCCTGCCTCAGCCTCCCAAGTAGGTGGGATTACAGGCATACACCACCATGCCTGGCTAATTTTGTATTTTTAGTAGAGACGGGGTTTCTCTGTTGGTCAGGCTGGTCTTGATCTCCCATCCTTAGGTGATCTGCCCGCCTTGGCCTCCCAAAGTGTTGGGATTACAGGCCTAAGCCACCACGCCCAGCCCCGCTACCCCTTTATACACAGCAGTTAAGACCTTCTATCTAACATGTTACAGAACTTGTTTTCTTTCTTTTCCTCCCTCCCTCCCTCCCTCCCTCCCTCCCTCCCTCCCTCCCTCGCTCCCTCCCTTCCTTGTTTCTCCCCCCCCCCCTCTTCTTGAGACAAGGTATAACTCTGTTGCCCAGGCTGGAGTTTAGTGACACAATCATGGCACACTGCAACCTCTGCCTCCTGATCTCAAGTGATCCTCCCACCTCAGCCTCCCGAGTAGCTGGGGCTATAGGCTCACACCACCACACCTGGCTAATTTTTCCTATTTTTAGTAGAGATAGGTTTTTGCCATGTTGCCCAGGCTACTTATTTTCTATATTTATCGTCTGTCTCACCTCATAAGGAGGTAAGTTCTATGAAAGTGAAGATTTGTGTTTATTTTACTAATTGATGCTTTCCCATTTCCTAGAGCGATGCCTGGAACAGAGTGTCTATTAAATATTTTTTGAATAGGTGAGTATTTCCAGGTCTTCCTGACCAAGCACAATGGGCTTGGTTTTATGAGGATGCCCATAGTTTAAGCTTCGCTATTTTCTGATGGAAGCATCTGAGATGAGTGTTGTGAATAAGCAGATGTAACGAACTTGGAACAGTGTCCGGGTCCCGGTAGACTCTCAACACACAGCATTTCATGACAGGAGGCGTGGGGTTAAAACGTGTGCTCTGTGCCAGCGGGCTCAGGGCTAAGTCCTGACTGCTTCTTTTCTTGATGTGTGACCTTGGGAAATGACTTCATCTCCAGGTGCCCTCAGTTTTCACAGCATAAAACAGCTGGTGGTGAGATAGGCACCTCAAAGGGCGGTGGGGAAGCGTCACTGAGGTCATCTATGAGAGGTGCTTAGAAGAGGAACAGGCTGCTGGAAACCTCTCGGATGCGCTGCAGGGAGGGCCAGCCAAGGGTCCAGTAAAGGAGAAATCTGTGAAGAAACGGAGAGTGATTCCAGAACTCTCAGCTCCAGGAGTACTCTGGGGAGAAGTGACCGAAGTGGACGGTGGAGATTCTGGAACAATTTGGGAAAACTCTGGGGAGCTGACCTGGAAAGGCATGGAGGGTGGGGGAAGCTAGTGAAGAGACATTTAGAGAGAGAAATCCTGCAAAGCTGGGAGTTCAATTTGGAACTGAGTGGGGGACCCGCAAAATCCCTAGCGGCCCTGGTATGGGGCTAAGTGAATGGAGGTGGGTAGATTTGGGGTGAGGATGTAAATTGGGACTGGAGTTGGCCCTGTGCCTTGGAGCGGGCTCTTTAAAACACTGAACCCCTGATCTCCTTTGTAAGAAGGGCTAAGGTTCCATGAGTGCCTGGAAGTGGAGGCTGCGAAAATTAGTGGGGCAAGTCCAAAACCTCTTTACTGTCGAAAAGCAAGAGTCATTATTAAAAGGGGAAGATGAAAAAGAATTTATAAAGTTTTCAAGCAATGCATGCAAAGGTGGTGGTTGTACTTTCTACAAATAAGGAAGATGTTTTTAGAGGTGATTGATGATCTCTCCTTGTGTTATAATGCCTATGCTGTGATATAATAGTCCAGGGGTAGGAGAGACGGTTGTGCATCCATCACCACCATCAATTTTGGAACTTGTTCATCACCCAAACGAATTGTACCCGTTAGTAATCGCTCCCCATTCTTCCCTACCCTCAGCCTCTGGCCATCGCTAATTTCCTTTCTGTCTGTATAGATTTACCTATTCTGGACTATTTTCCTTTACCTATTCTACTTCTATAGAAGTAGAATTATGGAATTTGTCAATTTTTTTTTGAGACACTGTCTCACTTGGTCCCCTGCACTGAGGCGCAGTGGTGCAGTCAGTGCACTGCAGCCTGGAACTCCAGGGCTCAAAGATCCTCTCCCCTCAGCTTCCAAGTAGCTGGGACTGCAGGTGCGCACCACCATGCTCGGCAATATGGTAACTTTTATGACTGACTTCTTTCACTTAGCATTTTTTTTTTAAACAGAGTCTCACATTGTCACCCAGGCTGGAGTGCAATGGTGTGATCTTGGCTCGTTGCAACCTCTGCCTCTCAGGTTAAAGCAATTCTCCTGCCTTAGCCTCCCAAGTAGCTGGGATTACAGGTGCCCGCCACCACACCCAGCTAATTTTTTGTATTCGTAGTAGGGATGGGAGTTCACTATGTTGCCCAGCTGGTCTTGAATTCCTGACTCATGATTTGCCTGTCTCAGCCTCCCAAAGTGCTGGGATTACAGGCATGAGCCACCATACCTGGCCTACTTAGCATAATTTTTATAAGTTTCATCCACGTTGTAGCATGTCTCTGTACTTCATTGCTTTTTATCAGTGAATAATATTCCATGGAGTGGATATACCACATTTTATTTATGCAGACATCAGTTGTTGAACATTGGAATTGTTTTCACTTTTTGAATATTATGAATAATGCTGCCATGCACATTGGTGGATGCATTTCTGTGTGGATATAGATTTTTATTTGGCTTCAGTATATATCAAGGAGTAGAACTGCTGGACCATATGATACCTCCATGTTTCATCTTTTCTTTTCTTTTTTCTTTGAGACAGAGCCTTGCTTTGTCACCCAGGCTGGAGTGCAGTATGCAATCATAGCTCACTGCAACATCAGACTCCCTCCCTAATTCCAGCACTTTGGGAAGCCGAGGTGGGCAGATGGCTTGAGTCCAGGAGTTGGAGACCTACCTGGGCAACATAGAGAGACCACATCTCTTAAAAAAAAAAAAAAAAAAAAAAAAAATTAAAAAAGGCTGGGCACAGTGGCTCACGTCTGTAATCCCAGAACTTTGGAGGGCCGAGGTGGGTGGATCACTTGAGATCAGAAGTTCGAGACCAGCCCGGCCAACATGGTGAAACCCTGTCTCTACTGAAAATAGAAAATTAGCTGGGTGTGTTGGCATGTGCCTGTAGTCCCAGCTATTTGGGAGTCTAAGGCAGGTGAATAACTTGAACTGGGGAGGTGGAGGTTGCAGTAAACCAAGATCGTGCCACTGCACTCCAGCCCGGACAACAGAGGGAGATTCTGTCTCTAAATAAATAAATAAAAAGAGAAAATATCTATCTACAAACATTCAGTGGAGTATTTCTATTGGGATGCTATATTTTTTATTTTATTTTTCAATTGCTTTTTGGAAGCAGGTGATTTTTTTGTTTTGTGGATAAGTTCTTTAGTGATGATTTCTGACGTCTTGGTGCACCTATTCCCTGAGCAGCACACGGTGTACTCAGTGTACCCAAACTCATAGCTCACTGCACTCCCCGCTCCCAAGCAATCTCCCTGCTCAGCCTTCCAAAGTTCTGGGATTACAGGGATAAGCCACCATACCTGGCCCCGTGGTTCACCTTTTGAATAACTGACAGACTGTTTTCCAAAGCAGCGAAGCACATATTTTTGCAGTAAAGCAAGAAGTTTTATAAATGCTGTGGCCTTTCCACAAGTTCCACTCTTTATCCAGACCTTCTCCTCAGAGCTGATCTCTGCAGCCTGGAACCTCCAGATGGTCAGCCTGCCTACAGTGCCAAGGGCAGGTGTCACAGAGGCTGATGGAAGAGAGTGGGAGGGACAGCAGTGGGAGGAGAAGAGAAAGAGCAGGGCAGAGGGAAAAAACAAATGGGCAACTAAGGCAGGAGTCACAGAACACTGAGCATTGGGAGCTGTCCACTCCTAAGCCCCAAATTTGAAAATATGTTTGTAGGGTAAGTTTTCTGAGCAGTTCTCTCTAGTGCTTAAAAGGAGGATTTGAACTCCATGTAGAATGCTGAGCACCATGTCATCAGCTGTGGCGGGTTCCCAGGATTACTCACATCCTGCTGTGAAGGGCAGATAGGAAAATGACTCACTTCACATACAGCAGTGCTCCTCCACCCTGACGCACATCACCTGGGAGCTTTTAAATACTACCGATGCCGGGGTCTTATGCCAGAGATTCTGATGGACTTGGAATGGGGCAGAGCCTGAAGGCTGGTCTATTCTAAAGGCTCTTCAGGGATTTTTAATATGTAGCTCGGATTGAAAATCACTTATGTGGACATACAGTTTTTATGTTTTAACAAACATGTTTAAGGCAAACAAACTACTGGGATGACCTTCGGATGCATCATAGAACTTTGTCAGAGGCATTTGGGAGTCCGGCGATTTCTCCTTCTAAAGGGTGCTAGTGAATGAGCGATCCTGACTGAGGGCTTACTTCGCCTTAGTGTTCTCTCCTAGCCAGAAGCCTTTCTGTTTTGGAATCATGGAGCACATCTTTTGGGAGCTGCAAAAAGCTCTAAGTAGAAGGGAAGAGCATCAGGTGGTGAAGCTGAACCAGGAGGGTCTAAAATCCATGTGGCCTCTCAAGCGCCCTTGAGTTTCCTGATCTCACATTTGAGAGTGATTCTGGGGTAAGTACTCTTTTTTTTTTTTGAGAGCTTTTTTATTGTAAAGATAGCTTTTGATTATTACAGAGCAGAACTTGTTGATGGGCTTGAAATTTTAACTTTTTCTCTAATTAAAGTATCTACAAACAGAGGCGGGGCACAGTGGCCCATGCCTGTAATCCCAGCACTTTGGAGCTCAGGTGGGTGGATCACTTGAGCCTGGGAGTTTGAGACCAACCTGAACGACACAGCCAGACCATGTCTCCATTCAATTTTTTTTTTTAAACCAGGCGTGGTGGCAGGTGCCTGTAATCCCAGCTACTTGGGAAGCTGAGGCTGGAGAATTGCTTGAACCTGAGAGGTGTAGGTTGTAGTGAGCCGAGGTCATGCTATTGCACTCCAGCCTGGGTGACAAGAGCAAAACTCCATCTCAGAAAAAAAAAAAAAAAATTAAAGTAAATAATTATAAACAATCAGTGGAGCATTCCTATTGGGTTGCTTAAAAAAATTTTTTTTTAACTTCAATAGTTTTTGGGAACTAAAACGATTTTCTGTCAGATGGATAAGTTCTTTAGAGGTGATTTCTGAGATTTTGCTGCCCCTGTCACCTGAGCAATGTGTGCTGTACCCAATGTGCTGTCTTTTATCCCTCACCTCCCTCACCTCTGAGTCCCCAAAATCCATTATTTCATTCTTATGCCTTTTTATCCTCATAGCTTAGCTCTTACTTATAAATGGGGCGGGTAGGTACTCTTCATTCAGCCACACATTCATGAAGACATATTCATTGGGTTCCTTCTGAGTGCCTATTAATCATCTGGAGCAGTATCACGGAGTTAGGAGACAAGTTCTCTGGCCTCTGTGACTTCCAGTCTCCACACACCTCAGTGACTTCACACCACCACCCTAGACCAAGTCACTGTCTTCTCCAGCCTGAATGTCTGCAGTTGCATCCCACTAACTGGTCTCCTTGCTTCTGCTCTTAGTCCCGTATGGCCTATTTTCACAGCTAGAGGAATTAAAACAAAACAAAACAAAAGGCTGGGCATGGCAGTGGCTCACACGTGTAATCCCAGCACTTTGGGAGGCCGAGGCTGGTGGATCACCTGGGGTCAGGAGTTCGAGACCAGCCTGACCAACAGGGGGAAACTCCATCTCTACTAAAAGTACAAAATTAGCTGGGCGTGATGGTGCATGCCTATAATCCCAGATACTTGGGAGGCTGAGGCAAGAGAATCGCTTGAATCCGGGAGGCAGAGGTTTTAGTGAGCTGAGATAGTGTCATTGCACTTCAGCCTGAGCAAAAAGAGCAAAACTTTGTTTAAAAAAAAAAAAAAGTCAAATACCCTCATTCCCTTGCTCAAAGCTTTCACATGGCTTCACATCACATTTAGAATATAATTCAGCTCCTCAACTGTTACAGGACCGCCCCTACCTGATCTCTTCATTCTTTTCTCCTTTGCTTTCATCTTCCCAGCCCTGGCGGCCTTGCTCATTTCTTCCTGAGGGCCCTTGCACTTCCTGTTCCCTCTGCTTGCTTTTCCCCTAAATATCAGTTGGTGCTTACAAGTCTCTCTAAACCAAGCACCCTGTATTAGAATCCATGTGTCTCTCACAGCAGCCACTAAGATCATTTGAAGTTAGGAGGTACTCAATAAGACATTTGATGATGTGAATGGATACAAATATAAAGAAAATAAAATATAAAGAAAATGACATTCTGAAAAATCCCTGCCCAAAGTTCTCTGGAACAGGTAACTCAAAAGAGCCAAATCAGCGTATCTAGTCTGATGTGGTTCTCTTGCTGCTCAGAGAGCTGCAAAGATTTTACGCTTGTGCAAGCAGATCCTCTAGAAGAAGTAATTTTCTCTTTGGGAGAGTAGCAGTACACAGGCTCAGCAGTAAATTCACAGTATTTACAGGATGAAAAGAGAAACTCATATTAAAAGTAGTAATCACACACTAGCGGCACCCATCTCTCATACGTTAATGGTATAGTGCCATAATTTGACCATCATTTCTCTCTTTCTGTGTCTCTGGCTCTTTTGACTATGGAAAACACTTAAAGGCAGGTCTACACAGCATGAAGCAAAACAGTGGTAGTAGAGAAAGATATATGTTGATATAGTCTCTGCTTTCTATACTTCTTCTACCATTTAGGTAATACTAGGCTTTGCATTTGTGTAAATTATACAGACAATAGTGTGGGACTATGAAGACGTGGTCCAGGATGGCCTGAGTCTGTGGATCACAAACGCCAGATGAAGGTGGAGAGTGGTAGGGAAGGAAGCAGTTTCAGTCTATTTTCTTCCATCACTGCTTGTAATAGGTTTTCCGAAATGCTTTCCCCTTATGAGCATTCATTCTGCTTATTCTTGCTTATTCTTTTGGAGTTGTTCCTCATTACTCAAAAATTATCTATGATTGTCTTCCACATATTTTTCCTTTTTAGAAAAAAACTCTCACTGGGTGCTTGGGAGGCTGAGGTGGAAATGTTGCTTGAGCCTAGGAGTTCAAGACCAGCCTGGGCAACATAGTGAGATTCCCCATCTCAAAAAAAGAAAGCAAACAAACAAACAAAAAAACGACACACAAATTTAAAAATGGGGGAAAAAAACCCTCACACGCAAACCTAAATGCAATCTATGTTAGTTTAGATAATTTGGAAATATACAGAATAAAGAAAAAAGTTACCCATAGCTCTACTACCTAGAGAAAAGTCTCAATAATTCCTATCTTTTTATTTCAGAATACATTAACATTTTAACTTTTTATGATTATAAAATCAATACATCTTAATTGCAGAAATTTTGGAAAATGGGTAAAAGGTAAAGAAGTAGGAGGAACAGCTCACCATGCAGAATAACATTTTGATTATCAATATTTCACTATGACAAACATGGAAATCAAACAGAGCATCAGGCTGATTGGTTGAAAGATTTCAAGGAAAAAAGTAAAGCAAAAACATTCCTATAGGCCTGAACTGGGCAACCTTTGAGCCTCTCAGTGTTGGCTGTATTTTCTTTTTCTGGAAATGCCAGGCTGGGAGCATTTCCAGAAATAGCCCTGGGCTGGGAGACTGGCCTGGGCTGGGAGGATGGCCATGGGCTGGAGAGGCTGGGCTGGGAGAGGCTGGCCTGGGCTGGGAGGCTGGGCTGGGGGGCTGGGAGGCTGGGCTGGGCTGGGAGGATTGCCACGGAGAAGCTCAGAACTTACCACAAGAGGTGGGAGAGAAGGTGAAGGCTGGGATCTGAGTGTGTGTCAGTGTGTGGAGGGGCTGGGGAAGGAGGGTGGGCATGTTTGCACAAGCATTCAGGGTGGAGAAGGCCAAGGAGAGCAAAAGGCAGTGAGCAGGCAAGTGGAAGCTACCGAAGTGGCCCTGTGCAGGGTGCCGGGTGCTGCTGAGAGGTCTGGCTTGGGTGCAGATTACCCTTCTCTGCGGCCTGGAAGGACTATCTTGGTCATAAATCACAGGTTGTTTGCACCAACAAGGACCCTCTCTACTCAAGTAGACCAAGACAAAGAGAAAGAGGCTCCAGTAGGATGGGTGGTGGGGGTAGGGTTTGGCTGGGAGAATCCTTGCTGCTGCATTGAGTGAGAAGTGGCTCCTGCTCTCCAGCCACTTTAGGAGAACTTGGTCCTGTACAAAGGCCACTCCACAGGGAGCTCATAGGCCAGCTCTAATACTGGCCACCCTTAAACTTCTTATTTGTTTACTTTTTGTTTTTTTGAAAAAGTGAAATCAACATCCATCCTGCCTGTAGTGGGGAGAATTTTCATGAGAGTAAAATGAGATGGTCAACAGTATCCTGTGGCTGGATTCCATGTGCTCTTCAGATCTCTGTTAGGGTAGCACTCCCTCCAGGAGGCCTCCTTGGACCCCCAGTCTGGGTTAGGGGCTCACACTATGAGCTTCCATAGTAATTGACCTCTGGTAGATTGATTGGCCGTCAGTTGACCTGTCTGGCTAAGCTAATGATCAGGACTGGTTGGTCGGTCCCTGTATCCTATCCCAGCACCTAGTACGGTTCCCGGCACCACAAGTGGTTCAATAAATCTTGGTTGGCTGAATAAATGTTGCTGTTGAGTCACTGCAGAATATAATGCAATAGTTACAAAAATAAAATAGTTTGCTTTTTATATAACAGAATAAAAACATGAGCGGTAAAGAACAGAAGTTAAAACCCAGAAGACTCCAGCTGTTTAAGGCATGTTCCCACCCTGCCAACTTTCACTGTAAAATTGCAACATCTTAAGTATTCGTCAGCGATGGACTTGGTGCCCATGGAACTGAATCTGCCACTTCCCCCCAGGCCAACACCTTGAAGCCAGAGGCAACAAAAAAGAGGATTGGGTGAAGCAGGAAGCATGCAAAGCCCTGGATTCCAATCCAGCCCTAGCTGCGAGGCACTGGGCACGGGTCACTTCTCTGCAGCTCTGCTTGCTTGTTTGCAAAGTGAGTCATGCGGCTGCCTCGGACACCCTTTGATTTTTATTTACCTGAAACACAAAAACTTGTGAAGCCAGCAATACAGGCTTAGGCAACCAACCTAAGAGCTGGCTAAGGTTAGGCAGCAAACAACCTTTTGGTTACAATGTTTAGCAAGTATGAATATATTAAACAAAAAAATGTGAAATGGCATAATTTGTGCTGATGCATGGCTAAGTCTGCATGGTCAGTGTGTGGGCAAAGGACTAAGGCAAGGCAAAGGGCCGCCTCAATACCTCACGGAGCTGGTTAAGCACCTGTGTCATCATTATGGTAAAACAGAAGCAGAAAAAGTGTGTATGTGTGGTGGGCAAAGGCTGGTAGGGGAAAACCATCTACTGAATCACAGGTAAATTTTTGCTGGCTGGGCGTGGTGGCTCATGCCTGTAATCACAGAACGTTGGAAGGCTGAGGCAGATGGACCACTTGAGGCCAGGAGTTTGAGACAAGTCTGGCCAACATGTGAAACCCCTTCTCTACTAAAAATATAAAAATTAGCTGTGTGTGGTGGTGCATGCCTGTAGTCCCAGCTACTCGGGAGGCTGAGGCACGAGAATTGCTTGAACTCGGGAGGCAGAGGTTGCAGTGAGCTGAGATTGTGCCACTGCACTCCAGCCTGAGTGACAGTGAGACTCTGTCTCAAAAAAAAAAAAGTTTTTAGTTTGCTATTTTCGTAAAATTTCTTAGTGTATAGTATAATTTTCATCGCAATGTATTTGCAGCACAATTGACTAACTATGGCCACCATCTTCTATTCCCTCTCAACGGTTCCTAACTCAAGCACAGTCTCTTAAAATTGTAAAATGACACCTTAGCACATTATATTATGTTGTTGCTAAGCCCTTGGCCTTATTTTATTTTATTTTATTTTTTTTGGGACGGAGACTTGCTCTGTCACCCAGGCTGGAGTGCAGTGGCACAATCTCAGCTCACTGTAACCTCTGCCTCCTGGATTTAAGCAGTTCTCCAGCCTCAGCCTACCATAGCTGGGACCACAGGCACTGCCACCACACTCAGCTAATTTTTGTATTACGTAGAGATGGGGTTTCACCATGTTTGCCAGGCTGGCCTTGAACTCCTCACCTCAAGTGATCCACCTGCCTTGGCCTCCAAAAATACTGGGATTATAGGCATGAGCTACTGAACTCGGCCAATTTTAAATGAACCTAGTGAAGTACCTAATATGTGCCTCATATCTGTATTAAATACAGATACTGTATTTAATATGTGCCTAGTGTGTATTAAAAACAAATAATAGCAAATATTTTCAATTCTATGTTACAGTATTAAGGACCCTCCATTCTAAAATTAGTAGTGTGCTTATTGAATTGTACAATAAATATTTTCAGGAAAAAATCAATTATTTAATATTTAAAGGAGTGAAAAATTGTTTTATTTTCTTTAATAAGATATTTTTTGGGCCAGGTGCAGTGGCTCATGTCTGTAATCCCAGTACTTTGGGAGGCAAAGGCAGGTGGATCACCTGAGGTCAGGAATTCGAGACCAGCCTGATCAATATGGTGAAACCCCATCGCTAGTAAAAATACAAAATTAGTCGAGTGTGGTTGTGGGCTCCTGTAATCCCAGCTACCTGCGAGGCTGAGGCAGGAGAATCTCTTGAAGCCAGGAGGTGAAGTGAGGCCAAGAGTGAAACTCTCTCAAAAAAATAAATAAATAAATAAATAGGTATTTTTTTATGAACGCTTTCTGCTCATAGTTAGTCGCTGTAAGATGAACTTGGTGACTATTGGTAAAGTTGTTACTCCACACCCCCTCTGTGTATTTATTCAGTAGCTAAAAGTATCTTCCTCAATCAAGTGCAGTATGTTTCAGATCAAGGCAGATCTGGTGATTATCCAATAATTGAAAGGATGGTTGGCTTTTCCTTTCATACATTCCTTAAAAATCAGTGCGTATTTTGAGATGAGAATGAGCCACCATGCATGGAAACTCTATTATTACTCTACAAACTTTTGAAGAATAGATGTTCCAAATCAGGAAAGAAATGTGTGGTAGGCTAATAATTTCATGAATGCATAAAAGAGAAAAATAAGCCTACTCCATTAGAACAGTGTTTACCATTATACAGAAATAAGCTTGATTCTTTGTTTGCCGAGAACAATAGCACAACCCTCTGTGTGAAGATGATTTATCTCTTGTTAAACCACCCTAACTGTTTATGACAGCAAAAAGACAGGTATCATTAACCTTAGGTGTTGACAATTTAGAAATCATGGGAATGAGTTAGAAAAACGATAGACGAGTCCCACCCCTGAGTTTGTGGAGAGCAGATGAATCCTGTGAACCATCCCCTCTCATGCCTCAGGGTTTACCAGGAAAGAGTTTCCCTTGAATTTTCAGGGAAGGGATTTGGCTTTATGTCCCTTATATCTGAAGTTGAAGTGAAAATTGTTTTGAGGAAAAATGGATCTATATTCCAATCAAAGTATTTTCCAAGGCCCTAGAATCAGGTTTATTTGTAAATCCATAATTTACTGAACCATTTTACCTTCCTTGTAAGTGACTCATGTATAAATTAGTGATGGGTTCCTGATTAATTTATTTTTGCTGCTGTTCTTAGATTTTAAAAGCTTGCATTCCTCAAGATCACCCTCTTCATAAATACCTTCAATGAATTTCAGCACAAGATGATGGCTCAAGCCCTTTTATCCTTTGCAGAATGATATAATCGGGCATTCTAAAGCAAATAAGAATCCAGTGACCCCAAAAATGTATCGGATTAAAACCTACCGATAAAAATGAAGTGTTACCAGAGAAAATACTCTGCAGCTGTTCTTTGCTTTAGGTCCACATAATAACAACATGAGTTTGGGGTATGGTCTGGTTTCAGCGTGGCATGCATTAATTCACATTTTAAAATCTTTTACATATGTTTATCTTCTTACGAGCATAATGCAGTACTACATTACATCTACTTAGAATCCATTGAGAGTATTGATTTTTTTTTTTCTTGAGAAAAATCAACATAGTGAGATGGTCTCTCTCCTCTTATAAAGCCCATTAGAGAAAACCAGAATTGTGTTAACATAAAGGAGAATGTTTCCAAACGTACATGACCTATTCCTGTGGTTCATAAGACTCAACTCTCTTTCAAATCTAATGAACTGATTCTGTCAAGCTTACATTCTAACCCTGTTTGCATGGTTATCACACCTCTGTCAACCCAAACTCTCCTATTTAGGAACTAGAAGTGATTCATGAAAACGTAACTATCTTAAAACTCTATTATCAACACAGTAATACTACATAAAATAATTACATGAACTGTTGGAATTTCATTTGGGCAATTTTTTAAAAGAAAATTTTTAATTGCTATGAGACTGGAGTTTAAGAGTGGATGATTTAACTGAAATGCTTTAGTAAAAATGGGTAGATAAATCAAACACCCCGAATTCCCTTAATAGCAATTATCATTCTGACATCTTCTTATTTTAAAGAAATTGCTGAAAATTTGACAAAACTAATGTGGATGGCTATAATTGGACTTGACAATATCTCTATGGGGAAGAGGTGAAATCACTATATTTAGAAACGAATGCCCCCATCCCACCCCAACTACATATTCAGGTTAAATGTGTGCACATCTCAGTGGCTGGAACATCTGTTTTGAGCTTGTTGTTCCTCTTGGCTGCTTTTCAATTGGATTTCCTCGAGCAGGTCCCAGGCTTGTCACTGCAGCCAGGGTCTGTTAACCATCACACTGGTTCTACATTAAGTAGGAGGTTCAGGGCTAAGCTAATAACTCGCCTGCCTTTCTGACTGATCACAGTGATGTTCGCCGTAGCCACTTATCACGCGGGCTCCTTTGGGAGGGTGCTCTTCTTTGTCTGTACCTCTGGGTAAAATTGGTTTTGTTTCCCCTGGTTCCTGGAGTTACATGTGAAAGACAGCGCTCACTGTCACTTCCATGAAGCGGCTGTGAGATGCTTTGCCCACGCATCCGCTGGGCAAAGAGACTGCACTCAAACATGAAACTCGCTCTGCCCTTCTGCAGAAACTCTAAATATGATATATGGTGATTCTCTTCTTCCTCCACTCTGAATAATAAAAAGGAAACTATCTCTGTATGTAGTTTATAGGAAGCTAGGTTAGAATGAAACAGTCTTTTAGTGTTCTGAATCATGGTTATGATTTGGCATAAAATCACAAGTAGAAAATATTTGTTGCTGATGGCATAGCAGTGTGTAGTCCACATCCAAGGGGTGAGGTGGGAGTAGGGTTGGAAGGAACAAGGCAATTGCAAAGATGCATAGACAATTGTCTAAAGGCCTTTAAACAATTCAGTGGCTTCTACTTTATAAATGTCCCAAGCTAACTGTAGAAAGGGGATGTCCAAATTCAAGGGCAGACAAAAAGCATTTAGAAAGTTCACTAATTGACAAGAGGGACATGGTGAACTTGCTACCCATTTTTACTTTCTAGGTGGCTTCTGAAACAGCAAAGAAAGTTGGGTTTCATTTGGGACCTGATTTCCTGCGGTTGACACCATCTTATTGTGACTTCCACAGCTGATAAGCTTTGATAGAAACTGGCTCTGTCTGTCAAACTCTGCTCTGACTTTAAACCTGAAAAGTATTGCTTTCCCTAGGTTAAGGATTTGTAGGAAATTCTCTTGCCAAACCTTGCCCTGGTCCCTTGTATGAATCTATTGCGAGGTGAAAAATGGAAATTGGATGAGTACCCACAAGAAGTAACAGCTCTGGTATGATCAAGTATGGCATTGAAGCCTGGGAATAAGATCAGGATGCAGTGATATTCTCATACAGATGGGTGTTCCTCTTTTTGGGAGTGGGTGTAGTGGGGAGGGAGATGGATATCATCCAGGTTTCTGATTACTGAAGTTATCAGTAAAGCCAGCACTGTTCTTACTAAATGTGATAAGAACAGATCTTTTGTTTTATCTATCCCCTTTGCTTACTAGTGTTATAAGCCCTTCTGGAAAAACATCCAACTTTTAGCAATTGTAGTTGTTAAAAATCTGCTCATTCGCTTGAATTTTTAAAGCACAGAATTTCATTGTTAGAGTGGTTTGAGCCTGAAAGAGAAATAAATTGGTGACAGAGAATCGGTGAAAAATTCTAGCGTTTCGGGGGTAAGACTGTGACTTCCCTTTTGATCTTGCAGACAAGGGGAAAAAGAAACAGCTACTGCTGATATTGGTGATTATGCAGAAGATGCTGGGAACTATTTACTGAGCACTTACTAGGAAGTCTGCCTGGTTCCATGTGCTTTACCTGAATTTACGTCCTTCAATTCTCATAAGAATCCCATGAGATTGCTGTTGCCTCTATATGAACCAAGCTAAAACAGTGCAGTTGTTCCAAACGATCACCAGCACAGCAAGTTTCTACTTCTCCTGTTTAAAGAAAATCTGAAAAATACCTGGATCCTTCCCTCCCATCAACCCCCACTTCATCCATCCTCTTATAAACTAAGGGGAACTTTTATCATTGGCAAGTATAGGGTAAACCTGAGAAAAACCTTGAAGAAAGATGATGTAAGTTGAAAATCACCTAAAACTGCAGTTTTAGTCCTCAGCTTTGCAGAAGAAATGAAAATATCTGTAGGAGGGAGAATGGCAGCAGAGAAAAATCATAGGAAAGGAAAAACAAATGGCCGATAAATGTGGTCTTGAAATGAACAGTTGCACAATTAAGATGATGCTTTTATGACGTCTGGTGATGTCACCCTAACCATCATTCTCTTTGTTACAGTGACTTTCCACTTTCATTTTGGGACAGATGCAATTTGATATAATAGTAATGGAAGAGTTACCTTAAGAACAATAATATGTAAGCATCATGTCTGAATTCAGACTATTTCAGTATACTGCAGGGAAAGCATAAGGGTGAAGAAAATGCGTATTCTAAGCTAGCAGTATTAACTCAAACTCTTTATCTTTGGAAATATTTTGTTTTAAACGATTTTATAAATGACATATATAAGGACAGGTGCAGTGGCTCATGCCTGAAATCCTAGCACTTTGGGAGGCCAAGACAGGTGGATGACTTGAGCCCAGGAGTCTGAGAGTAGGCTGAGCAGCATGGTGAAACCCTGTCTCTACAAAAAATATAGAAAATTAGCTAGGTGTGGTGGTATGCGACTGTAGCCTCATCCGCCCAGGAGGCTGAGGTAGAATATCAGAGCCCAGGAGATGGAGGCTGCAGTGAGCCGTGATTGTACCACTGTACTCTAGGCTGCGTAAGGGTGAGAGCCTCTCTCAAAAAAGAATAAACAAAAACAAAACTAAAAACCAACTACATATACGATCTCATTGATAATAATAGCAACTACTCACACTTCCTTTTTATTGTCATCTTATTTTCGAACTTTGTTTTACTTTTACTTAGTTCTCCTCAGGCACCAGATTTAATGTCCTGCCCTACTTTTTCTTTCTCCTTAGTGGTATTATTATTATTTTATGAGACAAGGTCTTGCTCTGTCACCCAGGATGGAGTGCAGTGGTATGATCAAAACTTACTGCAACTTCCCTCTCCTGGGCTCAAGTGATCCTCCCACCTCCACCTCCCAAGTATCTGGGATTACAGGCCCATGCCCCAATGGCTGGCTAATGCTTGTATTTTTTGTAGGCATGGGGTTTCATCATGTTGCCGAACCTGGTCCAAACTCCTGGGCTCAAGGAATCCACCCTCCTCAGCCTCCCAAAGTCCTGGGATTGCAGGTGTGAGCCACCTCGCTCAGCCCTAGTGTTATTTCTGTTTGAATTTGAATTAATATGGTTAGCTTAGAATATGCATTTGCTATGGTTTTAAATATGATTCAATGACAAGATTAAACATTTTTTTTAGGTTAGGCACTGTGGCTCAGGCCTGTAATCTCAGCACTTTGGGAGGCTAGGAGGGTGGATCACCTGAGGTCAGGAGCTCAAGATCAGCCTGGCCAACATGGTGAAACCAGGTCTCTACTAAAAATACAGAAATTAGCTGGGCGTGGTGGCAGGTGCCTATAATCCTAGCTACTTGGGAGGCTGAGGCAGGAGAATCGAAGAGGTTGCAGTGAGCCGAGATCATGCCACTGCACTCCAGCTTGGGTGATGAGTGAAACTCCTTCTCAAAAAAAAAATATATTTTTTTAATTTGACACATAATAATCATGCGTATTTGCGGAGTACACAGGGAGGTGATTACGTACTGATCAAATCAGGATAATTAGTATATCCAGCATGCAGCATGTCAAACATTCATCATCTATTTGTGTTGGAAACACTTAATATTCTTCTCTAGAGATTTGCATTCTACATATTATTATTAACTATAGTCATCCTACAGTGCTGTAGAACATTAGAACATATTCCTCCTATCTAGCTATGATTTTGTATCCTTTAACAAACCTCTTCCCATCCTGCCCTTCTCCCGCCCCTTCCCAGCCTCTAGCAGCCTCTGTTCTACTTTCTACTTCTATGAGATCAACTTCTTTTTTTTTTTTTAAGCTTCCATATATGAGTGAGAACATGTGGTGCTTAACTTTCTGTCCCTGGTTTATTTCACTGTCAAAGACAAGATTTTTAGTGGCTACATAATATTCTATCTAGCAGATGGTCCAGAGTTACTCTGAAGCTAGATTTTGAGAATATCTCCAATGTCTTACTGGCAAATATGTTTGTCTATACAAATGTTTTTAAAAGCTAGAATAACCATGTTATAGCCCCAGAATCGTTAGGTTTAAATGGTGGGCATAGTTGGAAAAATCTAACATTGTTTGATTTTCAATAAGAAATGAGAAAGAAATAAGAAAGAAGAAAGAAAGTTTTCTCTCCTGATTCTGATTTAGCAGAGGAGTTCAAAACTTCTACTAGAGTAGGCTGGGCGCGGTGGCTCAAGACTGTAATCCCAGCACTTTGGGAGGCCAAGGCGGGTGGATCATGAGGTCAAGAGTTCGAGACCATCCTCGTCAACATGGTGAAACCCCGTCTCTACTAAAAATACAAAAAATTAGCTGGGCACGGTGGCGCGTGCCTGTAATCCCAGCTACTCAGGAGGCTGAGGCAGGAGAATTGCCTGAACCCAGGAGGCGGAGGTTGCAGTGAGTTGAGATCGTGCCATTGCACTCCAGCCTGGGTAACAAGAGTGAAACTCCGTCTCAAAAAAAAAAAAAACTTCTACTAGAGTGAAGTTGCTTATCTGACCCATGTGTTATTGACATATGGAGTGATTCCTAGCTTAGAGACACTGAAGTGATAACTATAAAGAAAACTGAAAATGAAAAAGCACCATTTCATATCCTCTGTTCAATGCAAACATACTGTCCAGAATTTAAAAAAATTTCTGACTTCTCTCTATGTATCTATAAATTTGGCTTGTGAATGTGTATATCCTAGGGAAGATGGAAAAAACAAAGCGGGTGTATTAACAGGTCTATAATGACATAAAATTTATTCTGGGGTGAGGCAAAACTTAATGGTTCATAAATAGCAAATTCATTATATTTTTAATACTCAGGTTATATTAACACCATATAACATCTTTATGGTACCATTAGTACCATTTAAATCCTTGACTCAACTTGAAAAACAAACATTTCCAAATCTTGGCCATGAAATGATTAGTCAAATAAAATGTTTTAATAAATATTATTGGATTAGAACACGGTTGGTTGGGTCATAAACTGTCTTATAAATGTTTTATGTCATCGGTTACACTGCATTTTTAAATGTTAACAAATTAATTTATTTTAAAGGCCGCATCAAGGTGAAAACACCTTGTTTCCACTGGAGCATTAGGCAGCAGGACAATACATCATGGAGCCATTTTTCATTCAGTCATATCACTGGCAGAGGAGATGTTCAGACATAAAATGTGGTATGGCTTGTTAAATATTCATTTATAATTTGCATTCATTATTAAATTATGTGTTGGGCTAATCTTTAACCTTAAAAATATAGTGTCACAAAGTTCTTAGAATACATGATAAATATTTTATAATTTAGTGTTACTTTAAGTGTTGACTAGAATGTACACAAATGTTTGTCAGTAATGATCTTTAATTATTCCAAGGAGATTTGATCTGCATTGGTATT